GACCTGCCAAGAGGAGCTGATCCATCAATCTTTCCTTCCTTTTTCTTTCTTGCTTTCCAAAACAACATTTGGAAACYGAGTTTGCCTGGGAGGAAAACTGTTCTTCCATTGCCGGCAGTCAAACCGTGAAACTGAATAGTGCTTTCCCTTTTCTCTTCCTTCTATTCTGTGTCTGTTTGGTTTGAAATCAAGCCAGGGAGGAGGGGAGGGGGTGTAAATAAGGGGGAAGGATTTGTTTGAAGCATTTATTTTTAATTGTGACTTTTGTAAGGTGATCTGGTGCAGTGGTGGTGTGTCCACTGTGGTCTGAAGAAGTTTAAAAGAAGTTTATTAGAAAATATCCCGGCAGATGAGTACAGRTGGCTTCAAGTTGGCCTTCTTGATGTAACATCTTCTTGGTGTTGCTGCTGAAAAAGAAAACAAATGAGAAAGAAAAATATCTCTGGATGCATCAAATCACAATACATTTGTAGCAGAAATATCTGACATTAATTAGGAAACAGGAGTCCAGGATTCTCCTAAACCTGTGTGGCTTGAGTAAGCCAATGCATGCCAAGGTGGTGTGGGCAGTGCTTACTGCAGGTCTGTTATCCACTGTACAATAGCTGCCAATGCACATTTAAATGTTTTCAGATCATAGAAAATGCTCTGCAGATCCAGTGCCTTTTTTATTTTAGCCCTTGGCTGGTTTTAGCAAGAGTGGGCAGATGTTTGCTTTTTGGGGTGGACAGAAGTAGGAGCTTTCTTGCTGCTTGAAACTGAGATTATTCAAATCCTTAAAAAAAAAAACTACAGGAAAAATTCTGTTGTTTAGGCAGMACTCCCTCAGTTGTGCATGGTATGAACTATGGGATTATTCTAATGCTTCCCAAGTATTTGAGAAATATTCAGCAGCAGAGTGAGCCCAAGACTACTCCAGGCTTTAGGGAGATTAAGATTATTCTAGAAGATAAAACYGGGACTTTTCTGTAGAAAACCACATAAGAGACCACTGTGAAGAGCAATAAGACCTCCTGAGTGCTAAACCACTGATGATTTCAGCGTTGGAATGTGGGGCCTCTTGACAGTTTTAGATGGAAATARTAAAATGCTTTAGGTGTTTCTAGGGTAGCAAATTCCTCATTTTCTGGTTTATGTGGGAAGCTTTTTGGTTTTCATGTGCAAAAGAGCAGTGGGTCAGAAAAGGTGCTCACACAACAGTGCCGGTGAGAAACATTCAGTGGAACCATTGTGAAAGGCAGATATGGAAAGGAAAGAGCTCTTCTCCCCCATTCATCCCAGTTTGGGAGACAGAGCRTGTTACAACAGTGCTGAGCAGACAAGAGCTGCTTGCCAGCATTTAATTTGTTGGAGATTAGGAAATTATTCCATTCTTGCAATACCGTGTCAGTCTAGAAATACCTTTGAACTCTGAGGGATGTGAAATTTAGATCTCGCCTCAGATTTCGCGGTGTTTGGAAGRCAAGGCTTTATCAGGGTGAGAAGTGTATGGATGGTTTAAGGGGAGTCAYATTAACAGTGTACCTAGAGACAATGGACTGGCTCAGCTTCAGTTATGTTGAACTTTGGGATAACTAGATCCAGAGCAGGACATTGAATTTGGGCTTTTTTTTCTGTGGGATCTGAAAGCTGGCTAGTGCAATGTAGGGGTCAGTTATTTCTGTTTTGCTCTACGTGCAAGGGGCTGCTAAAGCACTGCCCCCTTTCTGACCTGTAGCCTTCCTCCAAAAAATACCTGCAGCCTGGAACCCCATGTCTTTTTGAGATGCCAYCCTTATTCCTAACTCCATGCCACAACCATCCTGTGTCCTCACCAGGCTGAGGGCACAAAGCTGAGCAGTTTTGTGGAAGCTGGGCTGAACATGATACTTTGGTTATTTACGATGGTTTCTAAAAGCACTGTCACAACTRTTGGTGTCAAACCATAAGCAAAGGTTACACTTACGAGTGCAAATGATAAACAAATACACGACACTCAGTGTCAACAGCCTCACAAATCTGTTTAGCACCTGGAACTCGAATCAGCTCGGTAGTTGTGAACCATGACTTGTGCAGAAGCAGCRCTGCGGTTTCAGAAGGGCCGTAAATAAATTTGTGTCCTGACGTGGGCACCAAAAATAAGCATGTGCTGAGCTTTTCTGAGTGTTTGGCCAGGTCACAGCTGCTGGCTGCTGAACATTTTGGAAAATATATCCCTTCATTCAGGTGCTCAGTACTTGAAAACACAGACCCGAACAACTCTGGTGTCATCTGCTTCTCTAATAACCACTGTTGCACTTTGCAAAAATAGCCAAGGCCTTGCTCCTGATCTGGGAAAACAGTTCCTTTAATCGTGATCTTACCTGCCTATTAGAAAAATAGCCTGAAGAGACTTTCCTCTGATGAAGGTCTGGGATCATTGTAACTATCCTCCCCTCTCATTGAGCAATCCCATTTGCTGCTGCCATGCCATACAGAAAGCAAATATGCCTGRTTGCTCTGATATCAAATAACTTTGGTGACTCTTAAAGAGAGTTCCTTGTAAAAATTCTTTCATCCAGAAGTTTCAGTCACTTGGAGCCTTGCAGGGGTTTCTGTGCTCTGGTGATTTATTACTCATGAGTAATTTTGTGCTTTATGGAGAGCCCTGCTGGAAATATATGGAAGTACAAAAGTATTGATTAACCAGTGATCTGGGGCCAAAAGCTACCCATGAGTGATGACAGGAATGGGCTATGGGGTAAGGCTTGGAGGATGCACCCATAGAGGAGCAGGAGCTCTGTGATGGGCAGGTTTGAACCAGAACCCAGCAGCAGCAGGATAAGGGAATGTAATAMGACTGGACCCACTCCTTTCTGGAGTAAGCTTATGGAGTAAGAAAGGAAATCAGTTTTCAGTCTCCTTCTCCAGAACAGGGTGGAACTGGGATCCAAGAAGTCTCTTAGAGCCTGAGTGAGAGCAGTCATGTGCAGGGGCTGAGTCCCAGGACTGCTGCAAATCAAGACATCAACATGTCATGTCCTCATGAACCCCGTGGCTCACCCAGGAGCACCTCTCACGGTGGAGGTGGCCTTGGTGTTCCAGCATAGGACTCTGGAAATGGAGGGACCCTTTCAGGAGAAAAGAGAGGGATTTTTTTTTTTGGCAAATTTGGCTGTAAGAGAGGAAATCATCAGTTCTATGGGGGGGTCAGCAAGTTTTTATTATCCCACAGTATCAGAAATTAACAGTGGTGGGTTGCCAAGGAGGGCATAGGCTGCAGGAACAGCACATACTTTACCTCCTATTAAGCTGTGTGGTGTCAGGGGGAGCATAAATACCTGCACAGATTTAGTGTGTAAAGCAAAGGATAATGATGGCATCGTCTGTCCAAATTTATAATCTTTGAACAGCCACTGAAACTGTAAATCAAGGCAGAATTTCCACCAGGTTTCTTGGTGATGCTGTAGATCAGCATGGTCTTCAGCTGGAAAAAATCCACAGAAAGAAAAGGTAGATAAAGCTTGAAATGAGTTAAAGAATGGTTTGGCAATCATGGTCTCATGTTTCAAGTGCTTCCTTGGTGGTGTAAGTGGAAAGCTTAACATTTAATGGAAATATTTTGATTTTTAATGYTGCAGAGGTGTAGAGGACAAAGTCACAGCTATCCCTATATCCCAATCTGACATTAGTTTCCTAAGCTTGTTTTTGTAAGGGGCTGAGTTTTGCACAACTTGCTGTGCTTGAGAAGAGAATCGACAATCAACAACCTGTGCTGTTGTTTGATATACCCTGGGCACCACAGCTCATCTGGGGCCTGGTTCTTGTGATCCCAACCCCACACTCGGGGAGAGGGCTGAGGAATACAGGTCATCAGCAGGCCAGGTTGGCAACTCCTTTCTTCCACTGTACAGAGTTAATCACATCAACACACTCATTGAGGTCTAGAGATCATTATTTTCATTAGTGGTGATTCATGTGAAGGGTTTCACAATTGGGCCTGCTGGTGTAATATGTTCCTTTCCATAGTACCATTTATCTAAAGATCTCCAAATACTTTGTGTACATTAAATTTTAATCCATGTTTTACCACCAGTGATATAGGTAAGGAGGATTGTTTCCATTTTGCAAAAGAGGTAAACTGAGGTACGGAGCAAGGAAGTGACTCGCCCAAGACTCTGCAGGTTGTGTATCTTCCTAAGAAGATTTATGTTTCCCATACGTTCCCAGCTCAATTTCCCTGCCCAGATCTTGAAGGAGCATTCAATTTCCTGGGGCTAAGGCTGACCGGGAATTTGCTATAGCTGCAAATCAGGCCTGAGGTGAATCAGAACTTCCTCTGGTGTTTGGGAATGTTTGGATTTGTCATCCTGGAACAGCCCTGGCCTGGAAGGATTGGAGCACAACTGGTTTTTTTTCAGAGCTGGTATCCACTGGTTGGTGTAAGATGCAGAGTTCAGTCAGTGAAGTACCCTTGGGATCTATTCATCCTCATCATCCTGCATGGTCAGTGGCATCAGTGTGGGCAGCGGAGGATGGAAGTGGTTCAGATGCAGTTGCCTGGTAGGGGATGGGATGAGCTGCGAACTGAACTCTGTTCTCTGTTACCTGCAAGGGGAGGGGAGGTGACTGTCTCAAGAGAACCTGTCCTACTCTCCCCAGGGAAACAAAGTTTGAAACAGAATGGGGATAGATTTCATCTTTTGCTTGGAGTTTAATCTCTTACAGTAATAAGACAGGTGATTCCACTGGTGTGTGTTGTCATAGCTCCTAAAACAAGGAGTGGAAAGGCAGTCCTTCCTTTCCCTGTCCTAGGGTTAGGGGTGGGGGTARGGCTCCCCGGCACAAGGAAAGCTGTGCAATTTGGGAGAAGGAACAGGTCCAAAGAGGGAAATAGTCTTGTTTGGGGTCCAAAGAGGGGAATAATCAAGCGAATGGCGAGCCAAGAAGGCTGTTCTGTCCCACTCCTCTCCCCTGTGCTCGGTTACTCAAACTCCTCAGGACTGACCTGACCTTCAGGCACCTCTGCTTGCTCCCYGCAGGCTCCCCCTCTCTGCGGGCGTACCCTCTCATCTCGGTCATCACCCGGCAGCCGCCCGCCGTGCCCCCGCTGCTCCCGGCGCCCAGCAGCTCCCGGGGGCTGCCAGCCCAGCCCTGCCCGGGGCTCACGGGCACCGAGGGCTCCCCAGGAGAGCCCCAGGGCAGCAGCGAGTCGGAGACAGAGCAGCCCACGCCGCGCTCCAAGAAACCGCGCCGGAGTAGGACCATCTTCACCGAGATCCAGCTCATGGGCCTGGAGAAGAAATTCCAGAAGCAGAAGTACCTCTCTACCCCYGACAGGTAGGTGCGTGGCTCACGCCAGGAGCAGCCATGGGCACAAGGGCTGCTGCAGCCCTGCTCAGCCGTTCCACAGTGAACATTCCCTGGCTGGGGGTGCTGCCTCTGGCTCCTCTGAGGTGCCTCTGCCATTGGCCACAGCCATGGTTCAGGTAACCACATTCAGTTTCAAGGCTACTTTTCCTGGGATTAAATGTCACACAAATAGATCATATCGGTGGAAAACGCCAGATGATGATACACACGCTTGGGTGGGAGCAAGTCTCCAGGCTCCTCAGAGCAGGAAGATCTCTGCCTTTCCCATTCCTGCTGCRCACTTGAAAAAAGATGGAGCTGCTGTGTGTTCGTGGTATCTTCAGCTGGCTCCCGAGCTGGCTTTCATCCAGCACTTTAGGCAGCAATTCTGTGGGAAGGTGGTGGCCCGTCCATAAGCTTGGAAACCAGAGCCTGGCATTGGAAGCTGCCTTGCAAAGGCACAGGCAACTTCTTAGGCATTACTTGGTACCACATGGGCAAACCAAACTAAGAGAGGTTTTGGGTTTTTAAGGGCTTTGACTCCTACTCTGCAAATTTAAATTATGGAAAAAAGACTCATTCAATTCCTAGGAAGTTTGTAAACCTGAAGGTTTGAAAGGTATCTGTCCCTGCAGTCCACTGATATTTAAATCAATATTTAAATTGATTTTGATGATGGCRTTTTCTACTCCTACCGCCTGTCACCAAATTGCAGCAAGACCAAAATTCCTGGCCGTGGCCAGCCTGCCTCATGTAGTTTCAGAGTTCTGTGCCTGCAGTGACTCCTCACAGCTTCACATCACCAGATGGTTGACCCTTCACTGAAGCACTCAAGGCTGGTAATTAATAAACTCACATGACTGTTCCTCAGCTTTGTTGAGGCCAATAAGCAATTCCTGCCCCTGGACCGCTTCCCCTGTGTTTGTTTGCTCGGGTTTCCAGGCAGTGCTGGTTGCACTGAGCTGTGTGGCAAGAGATGGCAGCTGGGTAATCCCGGTGTTACCAGATGTAAGGCACAAAGGGTTGGCCAAGCCGTGCTTCTCTCTGCCCACTCATGGCTGGAAATGTGGGGACAAAGCAGTGGATTGATCTGTGCTCACTCCTGCAGATTTTGGCCTGGATAGGAGATTGCACCCCTGGGAGGGCACCTGAAGCCTCTGGTTTATCATAGAGAGGGAGTGCAGCACATTGGGGTAATGACTCTGACATGTTCTACTCCTAAATAACCATAAAGGTGTCTCAGATCAGTGGCTTTAGATGTGATGTAATGGCACAACAAGCCTGCAGGTCCAGAGTGAATACCAAGGGGGGGAGAAGCATGGATCCATGAGTGTGAGGGGAGCACAGAGAGCTGCTGTGGGTTATGTGGGTGTTTGTAAATGTAAGTCTGGCTGCCCAAGGAGCCCAGCTGTAACAAAGATTTTATTATGAAAAACATGGCCTTGACAAACATGTTCCCCCATCCAAAGGCAAGGAGATATTTGCCAAAAAAATCTCAGAATCCAGAATGCTGTGGAATGTGGCTCTGAGTTGAAGCTGTCCCACCTGCAGGACTTGCATGACTCTGAGGGGCACTTTCCCAGCATGGTTGAGGATTTCCAACTCCATCCCTTGTGCAACTCCATTACAAAACTGCCAGATGCATGGTGTTATCCCCTGTGGGGAAGGATCAGGAGCTGCTCTGAGTCGCATTTGCTACATATCCTGGGCTTTAATGGAGAAATAATGAATGGTTCTTATGAACTTGCATGGTTTGGAGGTTTGTGGAGGATGAATCAGGATTATGGGCTGTCTGCCACATATACCCTGCAGCTAAACACGCAAAAAATAATTCACTTAGAAGCCTAAATTGCCTAAATAGCAGAATGTGTATGAAATTAATTGATTTCGATGTAGTGCTACTCGGTACAAAGTGGGTAAGCCCCATGATCCCAATCTGAAATTAGTGAATTAGGAATATACAAAGACAGGCTGATGCTGGGTGTCTGTTCCTATGTGTTTGCTTCAGACACCAGAGACCTGTTTTTCACATGTGAATGTATCAGTAGCTCTTAATTCATGGACAAACATGGAGTGTCAGGAATTGGAGTGCAGCAGGTTCATGTTACCAAGTGGACAGACAAGATCTGCCACTTCTAGAAGGAGAAAAGAGAACAGAGAGCTTGCAAACACCTGCATCTTCCATAGGAGCATCTGTCTTTGCATCCCAAATTCATGGTGTTTACCRTTTTCTTGTGGCTGTTCTCGAAACAACTGAACAGAGAGACACTTCTGAATGCTCTTACAGCGTTGAACTGGCTGGACCTGACTCCTGAGCTCCTCTTGGCTTCTGTAAACTCATTTTGTTGTCTGGTTTGTCTCCCAGGCTCGACTTAGCCCAGTCCCTGGGGCTGACTCAGCTGCAGGTGAAGACGTGGTACCAGAACCGTAGGATGAAGTGGAAAAAAATGGTGAGTGGGTCCTTGTCATTTCTCCATGGTTCTTAAAAACTGACTGCAAAGAACAGATTTGGAAGCTGAACATAGTGGWGTGACTTGTGTCTATTTATACCAAATTTTGTTTTATTCCTGATCATTTTTCACAGATTGTCTCTTTTTTGGAAGTGTTCATACTGCAGCATATGTGGTGGGCTAGAGAGGACCAAAGGCAGTAGGAGGAGAACAAAGCAAAGGGGTGAAAGAAATGATCACAGAATGGAGGGAAGAACCAAAATATCTCCTGCATTTTTGGTATTTGAGTGATCTCAGTGCTTCTGGGATTGGTTTTGTGCATAGACAAAAAAAGACTGTGGTGTTCTATGGAAACAGCAGTTTTGAGAGTTGATATCATTAATTATTGCTTCTCATATTTTCTTTTCTCCTTTCCCTTATTCTCATCTTCTTGGTCCCCTTACAGTTAAAATGCTTTTTATAGAGGACAACCACCCAATAAATGTTGGTGGGAAGAGGATGCTGTGGCATTCTCTAGTGGAGGTGTCCGTGCTTTCTGATCTGGGAGAGGAGATGCAGYTCTAGGCTGTTCCTTTGGATATGTRYGACACTTGCAGAAGTTACTGTCACTTCAAACAAATTTGGGATTTGGATCCTTGGCAGGAGTGTCTTGTTGCTGCCGGGTTGGTGTGAAGAGAGAGGGAATTAGACATAAGAACAGGATGTGTGAGAGTAGCAGAGTTCAGGATCCTGATGGTTCATCTCTCTGCTCCAGGTGTTGAAGGGTGGACAGGAAGCTCCAACAAAGCCCAAAGGCCGTCCGAAGAAAAACTCCATTCCCACCTTGGAGGAGATCGAAGCAGAGGAGAAAATGAACAGCCAGGCTCAGAGTCAGGAGCTGGAGGGATCTCAAGCCTCMGAGGAGCCAAAACTGACAGAGGAGAAGCCAGAAGATGTCCCATTGGAGACAGAGAAGTCTCCAGAACATATACCAGAGCCTTCCTCAGAGGAGACCACACCTTTAAGTTAAAAGGGAGAGAAAGGAGGGGAAAAGAAAAGCAAAAAAAAAAAAAGAGAAAAACCAAAACCAAATATATATATGTATATATATATATTTAAATATGTATGTAATGGTGTGTGTGTACATATATATATAAATATATATATATATATATGTAGACCTTGTGTATAAGTCTAAAGATTGGTCACTTTGTGCCTTTGGGAATCAGCCATCAKGGGCCAGGTGGAACAAAGACATCCTGTGGGAGTGGTGCCTGAGCCCTCCTGTGGAGAGGGCCAGGGCCAGGACATTTCCAGGGAAAAGCAGAGCTGGAACCCSCAGACAGCTCCTGGAGAAGCCCAGGGCTCTCCCAGGCAGTGGGAGACGTGTGTGGCTGTGCTGGAGGGTTGGGATKTTCCCTTGGCTTGATCCTTGCCTTGTGTGGGACAAAGAGCTTGGCCTGGGCTCCAAATCAGGGACAGCTGARGAATGGCAGCTCTGACAGCACCATCTCCTCGTGGAAACAGCACTTAATGTTGTCAGGGATGGGCCCGACTTAAACCATTTTAGGAAACRGTTCAGAACTCCAGGTTTGCTTTGACCCTGTTCAGATCAAAGCTTCCAAAGGCAGATCCATGCCTGGATCAGCTCCAATTGCCTCTCCTTGGGTTGGTTTTGTGCCGTGTCGGTGAATTTGCAATGACCTGGGATAAAACTTGGATTGAGATGAGCATTTGGATATGAGTCTGCTCCAAAAGCTTTGGGATGCTTGGATTTGGGATTTTGCTTTGGACCCACTTCTAATTTTTGTAGGGATTTTTAAAATGAACTGTTAAATGTTTTCAGGGTTTGGGGGAAATGATGGATTTCCAAAGTTGCTTCAGGAAGCTGGCATTTGTTTAGGATGTGTGCCAAGAAAGGATGTGCATCATGTTTCAGAGAGTCTTGTTAAGGGTGCATTTTGCCCAAAGGCTGCAAGAGATGTATTAAGATAACCTTTATTTTTTAATTAAAAATAAAATATATAAATCAAACAGTTGTTATTGTTTCTCYTTCAGAGATTGTCAATTCAGAACATCAAGAAGGGGCTTTTCTGCAATAGGTTTTCCTATTCCAACAAAATCTGGGGAATACAGAAGTCATCAGATTTTCCTTAACATCACTTCACAAGAGGGTCTGTGTAAACTACTTGTAGCACTTGCTGAGGGAGGTGAGGGTGCTGTAAATGCCACCCTGTCCTGGGTGAATGGGCACTATTTTCTGTCTCCTCCTCTAGTTTCAGACGCACCTTTAGTGGCTCTTTGTGACCCTGTGAAGATTTCTAAATTTCCSTTTTTTGGGGTGGCAAGGATTCACACACACAATCAAATGGCTTACCCAAGCAGTGGTGAGTGGGGAGAAAGGGATTCTTTTTCCCCCAGTTTCTTGCTCTGGGGTGTTTGCAAGTGTCTGRTTCCAGCTCTGCATTAGCTCTGTGTGCATCCCATGGTGAAACTCCAGGGTGGGACATGTTTCACTGCCTGTGTGTCCAGTACACAATGATCAGCTCAGAAAAGGCAGCCACTGGTTTGAATGCATGTACAGGTTTGCACCTAAACCAAATTTACCASAACTGGGCAGCACTCATTTGCAAGGAGCTTGGAAAATACACAGTATCTGTTACCTTTTAGCTCCTTTTTCTGTGTCACAATGAGCTGGGAATGGGATGAAACATTTCCCTCTTGCCTTTTGTGCTGGAGCCACAGGCTGTGAGCTGCGAAGTGTTTCCTCTGCCATTAAATGCMTCAAAATTTGGTTGTCTTTGAGCATTTTTCTCTCCACAGAGCCCTGACATGCTTGTGACAGCCCCAGTGAGAGGCAGAGGTGGCAAGGCAGGATTTCACTGCTTGTCTGGAGCTATGATACATCTGARCTGTTGCACATTCTTTATCTGYRAATGTCTTTTTTTCCCTCTTCTTTYCAGAATTGTGCTSTAGTTCAACCTATCTGTTGGACTAGAAATGACATTTAATTTAAAAAGGCCTATGGCCTGTTTATACAGGAATTAGATTAGATTAGATGGTCTATGAAATCTGTAATCAACCTCTATTGTTCTTGGATAGTGGCATCAGCTCTTATCTCCACAGAAAATGTTTCCACAAGTCTTAAATGCCACAGTACTCAGGGAGCAATTGAGTGGAAATAATTTTTCTAATAATGAGTTTCACTATTAGGTTGCAAAAAAACTCTGCAAGAATTTCTATTCAGTTGATGTGTAAGCCTGAACAGCTGATTAAATCAAATTTTGTGTGCAGATTGTTCTAGAAAAGAAAAGCTGACTGTCAGGAAAGGCATCAAAGATATTTCAACTTGTCTGAGTCAAAGTGAAATATTTTGTAATTAATCTGTTCTCTTCCAAGCCACRTTGGACAAGGCTTGGAACAATCTGGGATGGTGGAAGGTCACTGCTCATGGCAGGGAGTGGGACTGGATGAACTCTAAAGTCCACTCCAATGCAATCCTGGGATTGTTTTAATTTAAAAAAAAAACAAAACAATCAGAGTTGTACTGTAAACACAGCATTTGGAAAGTCAGTATTTTCTTCAACCGAAAGTTTTTTTTTTTTAATAAAATGAATAATGCAGATGCATTTTTGGATTTGGGTTTTTTGGAGTTTGTTCCCAGTGGATTTGTCCAATATGAGGAATTTTGATAGATTTACATGAGAGAGTGAGCAAAGAAAAGTAGAACCAGAAAAAAATATCACTTTCATGCCCTGAAATAGGAAGCAGTGTGTGGTGTTTCTTTGCTGTACAATGAAATTGATAAACAGGAGAATACAGAATTTTTTTAAAATGTAATGGTAAATTTCTAAGTCCCAAGAAAACAAAGTCAGCYATTTCTCAACAAAGGGTAAAGTAAGTTTTACAAAATGACATTTCCCACTTCCCAGATGAAAATAATTGTTTCTGACTCAGCTCCACTTTACAGTGGGAACAGTTCCAGTGATTTGTTAATTTTTTTTCCCTTGTTAATCCCATTCTAATCACTTATGAGTCAGTCTGGGTAAAAATGCAATTCTCTCRCTGTCTGGGCTAGTTTTTAATGAGTCCATAAGACAGCGAAGATGTTTTTGTTCCTCTTTTGGCTGAGAAGCAATCTTAGCATCTTATTTTCCAAYGTGATTATTTAAGTGCAGAATTAGCTTTCAAAATGCTCTCTGCTGCTGCTCACACTGAATGACTTTCATTGATAATCTCTTGAGTAATCGTGGAAAGCACGTTCAGGCTGTGTGTTTGGATGGAGGGAAAATATGGAATTATTTGTTGGCCAAATCTTTTCATTCTKGCTGTCTATTCCATGTGATGTCTGCAACTGGAGTAAAATTACGAATTCTAGTAGAAATAACATAGGGATCCCAGCTGCTGTTGGAAGGCAAATGCTCCCTTTATTATGCTTTAAAGTTTTCTTACTTTGGGCTTATTTTGGTCCAGTCACTGAAATGCCAGGAGCTGAGTGACTCTTCCACCTTTGCGTTGAGCTGAGCTGGGTTTGAAGGTTAGTCTGGAATTTAGCCCTTAAATGCTTTCGCACAGGCTGTAGGCTGAAAGCTACGTTTGCCTTGTGCTCCTCAGAGCCAGGAAGAACAGCACAAGCTGGTTTTAGGTGAACCACAGGGTATCTGCACAAACAGTTTCATCCTCAGCCCCAGTGACAGCCAAGGGCTGTCCAGGTGCCTTTGCGCCAACCCCGGAGGTGTTTCACTCCTTTAAAAACCTCTTGACCTCCCAGGATCTGCTGTCCCAGGATCTGCTGGTTGCTCATCCCAGAAATCTGTCCCGAGTCAGGAGCCTTGGGATTGCTCCCTGATGATGTTCAGGGGTATTTAGCTTCCAGTCCTGACAGAAGGGAACAAGCCCCGATGTCGAAATGCCGGCTCCCCTGCAGGGATGGGAAGTGCTCATATCCGGAGTTTGGCTGGGACCCACCTTTTATTGTACCCACTGCTGAGGTAATTTTGCAAAGCACTGAGCTCATCCTGCACGATGGTTCCCCCAGGTCCCAGCAAGGGTGAATAAGAAAATAAAAGTCTTTATTCATTTAACTTMAGGCCCCTACAAAGACATTTGTTGTTTGGGTGCGTTTTCAGTTTTCCCCTTCTTGATCATCTTTCCTCAGCAGCAAAATGGAAAGGGACAGTACAGAAGAATGAACTAAAAAGAAAAGAGGAGAGAAGGAGGAACTGAAAGAAAAAGCAAAGGGAAAGAGCTTAACTGCATCAACCTACATGAAAAATGAAAACTAGAGAGAAAAATAATTATGGTAAAAAGTCAAAAAGTCATTCTCTTTTTTTTTGGTAGATAAAGCTTTGGTTCTGTAACGATATTTTTCTGTGGTTTAGCTACATGTGCAAGGATGATGAATGACAGGTTTTTCATAAGTTTCCTTTTATGCTGTATAAATTAAAATATAGCTGGGTACAGAACAGTTCTTGGATTAGACTTAGGCTATGATACAGGATTTGGTCCCAAATTTGTGTCTCAGCAAATGGAGAGGTTTGGAGAAGCCTAAATCCTGTAAAATCTTTGATGTTGGGCATGAATATCCTGCAAGAACCTTGCTCCTCTTTCTTCCCAAGGTCTGCTACTGCCAGGTAGGATTTATCAGGTTTTATTGTAACCTGAAGAACAGGTGGTCTGGGGACATCAATYTTTGGAGCACAATAGCTTTCCACTATTACATTGTAGCTGCCATTTAAATCTCTTAAATTAGTGATATTTGGTTCAAATTACAATTTAAAAATGTCTTTAAAAAACCCCAACTTGTCCCTTGTCTTGTGTCTAGGAATCCACAACTGGATACAAGCCTTGAGTTAAAGTTCATGAGGGTGATTTTCAATGCAGGGATTTGAACCCTAATAAATCTAAATCTATTTTTCCCTGGCAGAAATAGATTAATTCTGCTTTTTCTTCTTTTTGTTGTTTAAACCAGACACCCTGTGGTTTCTAGGCTTTCCCCACTAATTCAAACATTACAAACAWTTTTGAAGGCAGTAGAATTATAGTCTTGTTTGGAAGGAAGGCTGTGGAGCTGCTGGGATCCATGGCTAAAATGATYCTTTCCCAAAGGGAGAGGTGTGGGCAGCTGCCAATGGACAGGGAACCCCTCCAGGCTGCTCTGACAGGTCCCTTCARTGCTGCAAACACTGGAGCTCTTGTTTTGTCAAACAACTGAGAGTAACAGAAAGTGTTAGTCACTAGGAGAAGTTCCTGAAATCATGGRCAGCCTGCTTTCCTGCACGCAGCTGGGAGTGGGGGCTTTCCCTCCAGAGATTACTGAGGAACAAATTTATGAAGGAGAAATTTCAGGAGCCAAAATTTCCTGGGGAAGAAGGTGGGGGAGGCTGCTGAGTGCTAACAAAAGCAGAGGAAGTGACGGTACCCCTTGGGCAAATGCTTCCMATATTTGCATAAACCAAAGGAACCAAACCCTTGTGGAGAAAACAATAGTGAAATATTTTAGGCCTTCTGTGCTTCCCACASGGACCATTAATGTCCTTCCCAAGCAGGTGACAGCCTTGTCAGGTGGAGAAGGTTCCAGGTGCTTGGACATTTCAGACTTCACCCTCCTCACCACACCCAAAGCTCATTCTCACTTAAGCTAAAGCAAAACCTTCTTCAGTTACATCAGAGCTGCAGTGCCCAATTCTGATGCTGMTCCTTGCAGACCACGATGAGTTCAGGCAGGTTTGGTGAGGACAAAGAATACAAGGGACCCTGCAGCACTGGAAGGTGTCACAGAGGCTGTCACAGAAAGGGAATTAAGTTACAGCAGGTCTGAGAGCTGTCTGGAATCAGTCAGCACCTGCTATTTATGTGAGAAGGAACTCACTGGGAGAAAGCTTTCAGCAGCATCCCKTCCTGTCCCAACTCGGGCAGCTGTTCCAGCAGGGTCACCTTGTAATTAGGAWGCTATAGTAGTGCTCTTTCTCATGCTCACTCTTATAAAAGTAATGGGGAAAAAGARGAGAAAAATGTCATGAAAACAGCAGGGCTCCATCCTTGAG